ACCGTGCAAAAAAAGTATATCATATACATACACGTTGTTATGCCTTTGTTAAAAAATATTCATATAGGCCTTCAATTTGTTATGCTAATGAAGGGTCAAGGGGCGAAGCCCCTAGCGGGTCTAGGTTTCTTTTAAAAAAGTGGTGGGATTTTTTTTTAAAAACCAGTACTTCCGTTCCTATAGAAATATCTCACTATTTGATAACACTTATCAACAAAATCGTGATTTTGGATTTTCAATCCCAAAGGTTTTCTGCATCGGAACAACAATTGTTCCAGTACCAAACGCGATCTGCTATCGCACTTCCACGGATCATGTCAACAATTGACATATGGATTTCGCTCACTCAATCAAGTGGCCTGTGATATATTTCCTATTATGTAGGAAGGACAAATCCTATCTTAACAATATACACCCCACTACATATATCGAGATATATTCAATAATAGTATTTATAGTGCAACCAGTTATGGTGCATGTTTAATTGTATCAAAATATACAACAATATATGTTGGGATGACATTGATCTCAAGTCTGAGGATCATACATATAGTCATCACCATGAGAAATGTTATGACCGTTGCATAATAATCCAAGACATATGCTCATGATGGGTCAATCCAATACATTGTTCTCGAACAATATAATCATATATCAATTCTTACATCTCTATGTCAATGACAAATCCTTGTCATCAATCAATAACACGTTAGTAATAAGTGTATTATTATTGACCATGCCCATAATAATACTTGACTATGGATCTTTTAATAGTGTTATTATTTGGACTTTATTATCTTTCAGTTTATGTTAAACATAGACATATAAATGAAAATAATATCGACAATGCCTTTATTCAATAAAATCGGTAAATAAATGTATTATTACAATCATCGTATGATTGGTCTTTGGGCATACTCTAACACCATGCAACTTTGAAAAGTTTTCGGGGCATATCATAGTCCAAACGACATCCTTCGAAAGGCATAGGTGTCATATAAGCAGGTGAAGGTGATATTCTCCTTATCTTTAGGTGCTATGGCGATTTGATTATACCCAGAATATTTGTCAAGGAAATAGTAAAATTTCTTGCCTGGTAACAGATCAAGCATTTGTTCAATGAAAGGAAGAGGGAAGTGGTTTTTCTTTGTAGCCTTGTTGAGCTTTCTATAATACATACAAATCCGTCTACCTGTGATGATTCGTGTAGTCAAAAGCTCATCATTCTCATTCTTTACCATGGTCACGCTAGTGTAGTTTTGTTTAGAACAAACAAAAACAAATTTTGAGGTTTATACAAAAAGATATGAATTTTTAACCGATGATAGGTAAGTAAACAAGACAACAGATTCTCCTCATAATAGATTATGTCGATCAATTTTGAAAAATAACCATAAATTGTACACATTGAACTAGAAATATTTAGTTATATGGATAGATTCTTATTTGAGTCTAGTTTCAAGTGGTATAAACGGAATGATTTTTAAAGGTATAGATTAATATAGAATAATATTTATTTAAAGGTATTGCAAACTATTACGATATGAAATTATGAAAAAATTTGGTTTTAACCAAATTAGAATCAAGGGATCAAGTTAAAGCTTAGTGAGACTTATATTTTAACTTTTATAAAATGTAAAAGTGAGTGTAATGCATACATAACATTATACATGGATGTTTTATACATCATTGGGTAGGACTTGCGATAAGTCTACCTTGTTTATATTACCATGATATTTATTTCATTTATCATATATTTGACATATTCTAAATATGTGAAAGGTTGAATATAAAATGAATTGATCATTGATCATTAAATATGACGCTATCATGAAAATATATGATATTTATCATGAATGATATTTTTGGAATGAACTGCCCAATATTAAATGGTATTGATATAGTTTACCATTGATGGATCAAATAAAAATAGACTATATGTCCAAGTATGTTATTGAGGGTCAGTGGTATTAACAGCATGCCATAGAGTCTAGTAACTGGATATTAGGTAGCACTAGATTGTTTAGAGAAGGCACATATTGCAGGCTTCAATGTGTCTAGTGAAGACACATGGTACAAAACATTACGGTCTACAAGATGGGTAATGCCCGACCTCAGCACTACGGTGCATTATTAGGTGAGCAAGGCTCGACCTCAGCACTACGGTGCAATATTTGACTCCTATATCGAGGTCCTCATACAATTATACTTTGGGCTATGGTTTACTGGTTAATAAATGATAATCATGCAAATAAGCTTACGAGCTTATGGGATATATTGCAAGTATATTAGCAAGAAACTTGATATCCAGTTATATCATGTTAATATATTGTAACATGGTTGGTATACAGGTAAAGTGATCATATTGCATTGAATATGGTTACTCATTTAAATTTATTTATTGCATTGCTTTAAAAATTATATGATTTCCTCACTAAGTGTATACTTAGCATGTGATGATTTTCACGCTTAGGAAAAAGGGAAGAAAATGAGTAAGTAGCTGAGCTTGGCATCAATCACCATGAAAATATTTACAGGTAACAATGATAACATCCTACTATGTTCTAAAATTATTAGCTGGCATGTATACGATAATGAAATGTCTAAAATTTCATAAAATAGTTAGTATTAAATATAATTAATAGTATGAATAAATATTACGATTTTTCTTTGAATAATTATTTTATAATAATTGTTCAAGTTACGAAACTTGAGATGTTTGAATGAAACAAAATTTTCTCAATTTAATTAAAGAAATGTTTTGAATTTCTGATGTGACATCTATAACTCGTATTAGTTCCTATATACGGGTTATGTGTGTTACATGGGTTTCTTGTATTTTCGGTTCCACAATTCCAGGGTTGAGATCATCAAGAATAGGATTTAAGTGATCTCGTATCGCTTGTGGTCCTGCAACATTTTGGGGAATATTATTTACTACAACACTGGGATCTATCCGATCTTCCATAGGGTTATTGGCCTGAAACTACAGTCGATTCATATTGCCTCTGGCAAGCTGAGCACGTTGCCTTTGTCTAGCTAATCGCTTGATCCCAGGTTTGAATGTACCAATGGTTCATCATCGATCTTCTGGTAATACAACGACACAAACCTACAGAAGAAAATAAGATAATACAAACACATAAAACAAACTAAAAAATGGCAAAAATCTAAAAGTTGTTATGGCAAAAATTATCAAAATTCCTCCTGTTTCCAATCCCCAGCAACGGCGCCAAAAACTTGATCGCGAATAAATGTGTGTGTAGTGGAACACAAATATGTGGAAGTATACACAATCGATGCAAGTAATATAATAGTGAGTGACTTATTGTCTCCACAAGGATTGGTAGGAATTTTTTATGTTTACTACAACTAGAACTAAGTGTAACTAATTAGTCCTAAGGTTCTTATCTAAAAAGAAAAAACAAACAATAACAAATGATATAAACATATGGAAAAGTATTATCAAGGCGAAAAAAATTATAAAGTGAAGTGAGCAAAAAATTTTGGTCGAGGCAATAAAGATATGAAAAGGTAACAAATAAAAGTTGTCAAATCAAATAAAAATGTTGAGTTTAATATAATTTGAAAAAACTCATACAATTAAACTTCTAACGGAGCACTTGGGTTAAATTTTCTTTGGCGAGAAATTATTCTATGTCTATGATGATTTAGAATATTATACCTATGCTGCACGGAAAGATGTACTGGAGTGTTCCTAGAACTTTTACTACGGCAATATTACTCAGCGTGGACTACAACCCTTGGTTTGTCAAACTGTTACTATAGCAATACTCCTCAGCATAAACTATAGCTTTTAGTTTATCATACAGAATTATTCATCCTTTTTAGTCGAATGAAACCCTCTCCTTATCCCTAAGGCAGATTAAAACCTTACCATCCTGGATTAGTTCTCCTGTTCACGTATATCAAGCCTAATTCTCTTGATATTAAGTATTAACTCCTAGAAAAATGGCAATCTCTCAAAAGTACATACAGAGACTAGGAATGTTTTGTCGTGACATCAGGAAATCTCTTAAAAGCTCTTACAATGTTAAGGCAAAAGTTTAAAACAATGAATAAAACAAACTTAGCATAAACAAACTCATTAATAATAAAATAAAGTATCATCCAAGCATCATCAAACACCAAATAAAATAGTTCTTGGTGTGGTAAATATCATCCCAAAAAGTAATCTTTAAGTACAAGCCCTTAAATGACGTGGAAACGAAGAACAACGGAAGAAAAACTCCCAAACTAGAGCTCTTCCATGACATTTGGACTACCACCATGACTGCTCTGGAGTCCAACCTCTCTCGAGGTCCTTGCCACCACTCCAGTGAAGCCCATCTAAGAAGGGCAACAAGGACAATCGAGTGGGAATTGTAGAAAAGTGAACGACTACCACCACTTTCTCCAAGCCTCTTTTCAGGGTATATTCTCATTTGCAAAAAAATCCCTCTTATGAAGAGATATAATGAGGTATTTATAGTGGGAGTTTTTAGGGTTTAGTATCCTTGGAAATTCCCTAAATACCCTCAATTTCATACCCTTTGTGTAAATAAAATGATAGTTGGCAGTGGTCCCAAATTCCTTTATGAGGTCATAAAAGCACGTTAGGTAAATTGGACAGTTGGCGAAGTGACATTAGCAATTTCGTCTTGTGTTGCGTCAAACTTGCAAGATAAAACTCGCATTGGCAATAAAATTTGTTCCTCACTGTCATCTTCTTATGTTCCACATACCCTAGCAAATTAATTTTTCTCCGCAAATGAATTTTTCCTTAGTCATTTCCTGCATCATCATAGCCAACAAACAACCTTTCTCCTCTACAGTATCAACTTATTCAAATAAACGTTTCCTTGGAAAAACTTATCCACCACAGGCACACATGTCCTAAATGAAACTAAATGCAGCTAAAATGCTAAATTAATGGCTTTTAGACACTCAATAACTTAAATAAAAAGACACAAAACATAGTCTTTTTATAGAGTTAGCAAAACCCATGCATAGGACACTTCCGCAACAAATCCTTGAATCTTTCACATGCTTCATACAAGATTTCATAATTCAATTACTTAAATGAAGTCAAATCATTTTGAAGCTTAGTATTCATATTAGGTGGGTTAAATCGTAGTAGTAAATTATGTGCTAATTCATTCTAGGATACTATAGCACCAGGTGGTAGTGAATTCAACCATGCTCTAGCTTTATCACGCAACAAATAAGGAAATAACTTCAACTTCAATGCTTCCTATGGAACACCATGATAAACAAATGAGTTTATATTTATTTAGGAATTGTTATTATTTTTTTTGGACATTAGACTTTAAAATTTTATTTTGAATTTTAGAGTTTTGTTTGATATACATTTGTTTTTGGTATTTATTAATTGAATTAAATTTGTTTTCTTAAGCTTTGAAATTGATAATGCGAGGGAAAACCTCCATAAATTCCCATAAATGGGCTCGTGGATCTTCAGAAATAGACCGTCTATATTGTCCCATGGATTGTAACATTTTGAACATCACCGGCTTCAACCCGAAATTTACAGCATTAATACCTGGCCTTACTCTACCTAGATACAGATCATCCAGCGTTGGCACTACATATTGAAAAATGGTTGTCCTGCTCCATGACCAATAAGCAAATTCATATCTTCATCATTATGCAGTGACGATAGAACACCATTCCCTTATCTAGCCATAGATACTTAGTTTCTTGCAGCATCGCGATGGCATCTCCTAGGAGTCCTCTCTAGGATCAATCGGCTATAATTCATCGCCACTAAGGGGCATAAACCACTATAACTGGAACTAAGAACTACCTAGAAAAAGAAAAAAGAAAATAAGAAAATTAATTAAAAAGACTCTAAGTAAAATAGATGCTCCCCAGTAATAGCGCCAAAAACTTGATGCTTGATAAATACAATAGTGATACTGCAAGTATGCACCAATGATCGATTAGTAAAGTGGTAGCTCAATGAGATACGAGTATCATATCCACATGAAGCAATGCATTTTTCATTAGAATCTAAGCTGATACAAATTATGTGTGTTTAAAAGAACAATTTAAATGAGCTAAAAAATCAATGTATAAAAATTCAGGCAATGCTACAGCATTGGTAAGAGCATTAAGTCAATAATCAAATTGCATGGGATAGTATAAAGCAAATCATACTTTAAGTAAAATAAACATTATGTGATCAATAATGATTAAAACCATTTGAACTACTCTAATCAACTATCATTAATTAAATAATTTAAATATTAACAATGCTAAATAATTGGATGCATATTCTTCAATATACACACTGTCACTAAGAAATATCAATGCTATCAAAAGTGCACAATAAATCAATCAGTTATTTTTTTTAGAAAATAATTGAAATATCATACTTTTAATTACTACTATTTCTAATAGAAACCATGAAGTAAATAGCATATAAAAGAAGTAGCATAACAAAACATAAAGTAGTCAATACAAAATAACATCCATAGTGTAACACCCTTAACCCGTATATGTGTAGTATAATGAGTCAAAGATGTCACATAAAATATTCAAAACATTTCTTAACCCAAATGGGTAAAATTTGTTTCCTTCACAAGTTCCCAAATTCTAACATTTGTTATAAAATAATTAATCCAAGAAAAATTCAAAATATAATATTTCAACTTCTGTTTCAAATCCGGTTTCATGTAGTAAACAGGGGTTCTAGTCTATTTCATATAATAAAAATAAATGTCTAGTTTAAAATACCATTTAAAGTAATATTTAAAACATAGTTTAGTATCATAATATTTATACATACTAAATTATATTTGATACTAACTATATTAATAGTTTACAAACATTTCTTATTTGTATACATGCTAGCTAGAAACTTTAAAACACCATAAGATGTCATCAATGTTACCTGAAAATATTCCTTGGCTATTGATGTCAGCTCAACTCCTTACTCCTTTTGCTTTCTTTTACCTACGCGTGAAAATCATCACACGCTAAGTATATGCTTAGTGAGGAAATCATAGAAACATTCAAGGAAATGCAACACATAAATGTAAACAAAAATAATATTCAATGCATGATCATCGCTTTACTTATATTCTAACCATGTTACTATATATTAACATGATATAAACTAGATATAAAATTTCTTACCAATATACTTGTCATGTATTCCAAAAGCTCATAAGCTTATTCACTTGTTTATCATTAATTAACCCATAAACCATAGCCAAATTTAAACCCTGAGGACCATATGTATTCGAGTCAAGTAACTGCACCATAGGGCTATGGATCATAAGGTCGTGCCCATAACCTGCACTAAGTTTACATTTAGTGCTAATCTAGATATGACAATTAAGGTCATTGCCACCACCTGCACTAAGTTTACAGTCTAATGTTGATATGGATATGACACATAAGGTTGTTCCCACCACCTGCACTAAGTGTCCTTACACACTATAGTGTTGAATCAAATTTATGACTATTGCACTCTACAGCATGCCAACTATACCTTATCTCTCGATGACTTACTTGGGCATATAGTCTATTTTTATTTCATTAATGGCAATATATATCAATATAATTTGGCATTGGGCAGTTCATACTCGAAATAAAATTTGTGATAAAAATCATATATATTCATTATAAACATCATATACAGTAATCAGTGATCAATGTATTTTATAGTCAACCTTTGACATATTTAGAATATGTCAAATGTATGGTAAATGACATAAATATCATGCCAACACAAATAAGGTAGACTTATCGCAAGTCCTACCCAATGATGTTTAAAGCATCCACGTATAATATTATGGATGAATTACAATCACTTTGACATTATATAAAAGTAAAAATATAAGCCTCACTAAGCTTTAAGCTTAATCCTTTGCTTTAGATTCACTTCGATCTCAAAAAATTTCACCAATTCATATTCAGGCAGTTTGCACTACCTTTAAAGAAATATTATTCTGTATTAATCTACTTACTCAGAAATTATTATGTTTATACCAATAGCAACTACACTCAAATAAGAGTCTAACAATATAAGGAACTTCTTCTAGTTCAATTTGTGCAATTTATAATAAATTCTCAAAGTTGACTTACAAAATCTACTGCAATGTTCTGACCTACCATCGATTGAAAATTCATATCTTTTTGTATACACCTCAAAATCAATAGTCGTTTATGTTAAACAAAACTAGAGTGATATAAAAATCCAACGGTATAAATTTCATTCTCTAATCTTTTCTGTATAATTTATGGTGATTTTCTAAACTTACTATTCATAACTTAAATTTCTAGGCAAACTTCACCAATTTGCATATTCAGCTTGTTCACTAATTGTATTAGTTCACCAAATGCACATATATGCATAAACCATAAATCACATACCAATTAAAAGTCACTTCTTACCATAGTAACTCCGTCACGGTCTCATCGCAAGCTAATGTTTATTAGATAACATAAGTACAAATTAAATTTGCACTCATTCATCATCAAGCTCTTCCTTAGAAATTATCATTCATCATCAAGCTTCTCCTTAGATTTAATATTGTTTGATCTTGATTTCAAGTACACAATATAAATGAGCATCATTTAAAAACACGTGAAATTCAAACAACATGTTAGAATCTTACTAACATATGCATACATTAGAAAATAAATTCTTAAAATTCTTATAATCCTCAATCAATACAAATTTCATGTCACAACATAATTGTTGACCTTAACACTTTAATTTGACCATTAAATTTCCTATTTATCCAAATTTATCTAAACTTCACATAACATTTTTACTTAAGTTCCCAACTTTTCCATACTTGTGATTTAATCCTCAATTTTTATCAACTTTCTAAAATGACCCAATTTCACATTCTAACGTCAATTTCAACACTCTAATATTAATTTCCATCATATTCCATCAACTATTGAATAATTAAACATTAATCCCATAACTTTACAAAATTGATGAATAAGTCCCCCAACTTTTATAAATTTACAAAATGGCCTTAAAATTTTTCTAAGGCTTGTAGAATCCTTCCTACATCATTTCCAAACCATACAAATATTTCCATAATTTTTCTCACTTCCAAAATCTTAGGCCAAATGTTAGGGGAGTAGGTTTCTTAATTTCAATTTCATTCAAGCATGAAATCAACATCTATTCAATATTTCAAAACATCTACAATTAAACCCGTAACTCATTTTCATTAAACCATAAACTTCCCTAATTTAGGGTTTAGGCCAAAAATCATAATAACATTTCTAGGTGGTTTTGATCATCAATCAAGCTTGAAAATGATTCTACAACATCAAAAAAACTCAAAAATTATCATCAATTCATGAAACACTAACATGAACATAAACCATAAAATTTGGGAACTTAACATTCAAACAATATTAGCATGCAATAATGGTACCAAATGATAGAGCTCTTCAAATAAAACAATTTTCTATTTCACGGTTTAACCCAAAAACCAAAGGAAATTACTCAAAAATGAAAAATAAAATTTCTCTTACCTAGTGTTACGAAGGAGAACGAAATGGAGGTTGAAGAAGGCTTGATTTCCATGAAATTTATAATTAATCTCATGTGCATTTTTCATTTATTAAGCTTAAATGAATTTAAAATTCATTTAATTGGGAAATGACAATTTTATCATTAACGAAACTTGATAATTACCTTCATTCTAAGCCACATAACCCTTATCATCTTCCCAAAGTCAAAGATGGACAAAATATCATACGCTTTACCATTTTATCCATGCAACTTTCCAAAAATTTCAATCTTGGCATTTTAATCTAATTGTTCAAATTGAAAATGGTAATAAATTCTCAAATCCAATGGTCATAATATTTTACATCATTTTAAAATAAAGAAATGATATTTAAAAGCTTAATTTTATGTCCATCCATTTTCTCAAAATTCATATTCGATCCGAATTACTGAATTTTTATCGGACTTTAACACTTTCTAGTTTTTAACACAAATTTCACATCAAAAATTTGATTCCCACCAAAACATCATTCTTGGGGGTGAACTATTCATTTATGGGGTCAAAACACGTAAATTTTCAAAATTACACTTTTGGTCC